AAAGGTATTTACAACCTCGGGATGCCCCCGAGAGCGCTGTTTTTTCGGTCTCAGCTAGACCAGAGCACTTTTCACTCGTGAAACGGAGTCACGAGGGCTAAGGTGCCTCTCGGTCCGAGTTCATTTCCTGGGTTGTACAGTTTAACTCTCTGAGCATTAACCAAGAAAGAACTTCCCTTTCCATCATCGAGCTCGATAACACTATGAGTAGTAACCCTCTTAACTTTAAAAGGACCAGACCAACGAGATTTTAACTTACCTGGAAAGAGGCGCAACCGCGAGTTGAAAAGTAGGACTTGATCATCCTCTTTGAAAGTGCGGTGGAGGATATGTCTGTCATGCCATTTTTTTGCTCTCTCTTTATAAATCCTTGCATTCTCGTAAGCATCTAGCCGAATTTCCTCTAAATGGTGTAGCTCTAGAACCCGTTTCTCCGCTGCCGTCTTCCAATCGTAGTTCAAAGCCTTGATGGCCCAGTAAGCCTTGTGTTCCAATTCCACGGGTAAGTGACACGCTTTGCCGTACACAAGCTGAAAAGGGGTCATTCCAATCGGGGTCTTGAAGGCAGTCCTGTATGCCCAAACCGCATCCTCTAGCTTCAATGACCAATCCTTTCTTGACTTAGCAACCGTCTTCTCAAGTATAGACTTGATCTCTCTGTTTGATACTTCCACTTGTCCACTCGTTTGCGGATGATAAGCGGTGGCAATCCTATGGTGGACACCATACTTTGTCAAAAGGGTTTGGATTATCCTATTAACAAAGTGTGCACCCCCATCGCTTATCACTACTCTTGGCACCCCAAATCTTGGAAATATTGTCCGTTTGAACATCCTTGTCACAGTGCTAGAGTCGTTCTTCGGACTTGCTAATACCTCAACCCATTTCGTCACGTAGTCCACAGCCACAAGGATATATAAGTTCCCGCAAGATGAGGGAAACGGTCCCATGAAATCAATGCCCCACACATCTAACGGCTCCACTTCAAGTATGTAATGTTGCGGCATCTCATTTCGGCGTGAAATATTCCCTGTCCTTTGGCACGCGTCGCAAGAACTCACAAACCGGTGCACATCCTTGAATAAGGTTGGCCAATAAAAACCCGCTTGCAAAATCTTTGTAGCTGTCTTGGCCGATGCGAAATGGCATGCGTAATTCGATGCATGGTAGTGGTGAATCACTTGTCGTACCTCCTCTTCGGGTATGCATCTTCTGTACAATCCATCTTTTCCCCGTTTGAAGAGGAAAGGTTCATCCCAAAAGTATCCCCGAACATCATGAAGAAACTTTTTCTTTCCGCTGTAGCTCAACTCCGGGGGAATCACCTTGGCAACCAAATAATTGACAAAATCTGCATATCAAGGGGTATCGGAACTAACCTCCAAAGCTAGAACTTGTTCCTCTCGCAGTGATTCATCGATGGGCAACCTTTCGGGTACTTCTAGTCTTGATAGGTGATCCGCTACTGTGTTTTCCGTCCCTTTCCGGTCTCGAATTTCCAAGTCGAATTCTTGTAGAAGCAGTATCCATCGGATCAATCTCGGTTTGGCATCCTTTTTTGTAAGAAGATATCGCAAAGCTGCGTGATCCGTGTAAACGATGACTTTCGAGCCCACCAAATATGATCTGAATTTCTCAAAGGCAAACACCACTGCTAAAAGCTCTTTCTCCGTGGTGGAATAGTTCATTTGAGCATCATCGAGTGTCCTACTCGCATAGTACACCGCATGGTGTTTTCCATCTTTCTTTTGACCTAGAACAGCTCCTACCGCGAAGTCGCTAGCATCGCACATCAACTCGAATGGAATGTTCCAATCTGGAGGTTGAATAATTGGTGGCGACACTAATGCCTGCTTTAGAGTCTTGAATGCTTGGTTGCACTTCTCGTCAAACACAAAGGGTACATCTTTTCCTAGGAGTGCGGTTAAGGGTCTTGCTATCTTTGAGAAATCCTTAATGAATCGTCGGTAAAACCCCGCATGTCCTAAGAAACTCCGAATGCCTTTGATGTTCATTGGTGGAGGGAGTTTCTCGATGACTTCCACCTTTGCTTTGTCAACTTCAATCCCCTTATCCGAAACCCGATGCCCCAAAACTATGCCTTCTTGCACCATAAAATGACATTTTTCCCAATTTAGGACCAAATTTGCCTTGCTGCACCTGTCTAACACTCGATGAAGATTGGTTAGACACGCATCAAAGGAGGGTCCATGGACGGAGAAGTCGTCCATAAACACCTC